ATGATACCGGCGAGAAGTTTACAGGCAATATTGAGTAAACTAATTCCTCTATGGTTTTCACAGGGGGACCTGTCGCCTTTCTTGTAAATCGGTATGATCACCGATTCACACCATTCAGTTGGAACCTCTTCCCTCTCCCAAACTGAGCCCAGGAGTTTTGTTAACTACAAAACCAAGGTCGAACCTCCATCGTTTAAAACCGATGGGGACAGCCCGTCGGGTCCGGAAGCCTTATGCCGTTTGAGGTGACTTATTTCCCGGGTAACCTCCATTTCAGATGGAGAACTGATGTCAACTGGCAGAAGAATTCAAGATACCTAACAAACAGTGAACTCTTCATCTCTCAATCCCGAAACAAGAGGAATACGGATAATGAGGAAGTTTTCGGCATTTAGGGACCCCAATTTTCGTAAGTCCTCTAGTGTAACAAGACAGCTTACGCAGTTTTATAAAGATTCTGTCAAAACGAAAGAGTGTGAGATGAAATAACACCCACGTGTTTCAAATCTGTGTCTGAAATATGGATTACTGTGAACTACCAAATTTGAGGCTAATGGGGCTACCAACACATTTCAGATCACTTCGCTGAAGGCAGTTGGAGTTTGTATAGCTTACGGGTCAATGAACATGAACCAAGGGCGATATCTAACAAAAGCGAAACTGTACTCTACCTTCGTTCTGAGTTCTAACTAGGTAAGCTGAATTGTGTGTGTGTGTATGTGTGTGAAAGTGGTCAGGCTAATTATTATCACTTATCTCACACTACAACTCCCCAGATAATTGTGAGTAAAAACACGAATTTAGCGGTGCTTCTGATAGACCTTGAAAACTGTGTAAACAGGTTGGTTTGAAAATGTTTGACCATTTGTGCATACTCTAAAAGTCACTAATATACAGGGTCGAAAGACCCAAAGATTCCATTGGCAACCAAATGCACAAAGGGTGTCGCAGTCTCAAAAACTCATTGTGAGCTATCCGAAAGGGTCACAGTCTGAGTGTGCTTGATATGTCGTAATCAAACATTTACAAGACATCGGATACTTCAACGACCCCTGTGGAACCCTGTTAACTATCACATTCGGTGCGAAATCAGCAAACAGTTCCGCGCGTTGCTGAAACGGTGGCTGCCAAAACATAGAACAGGTATCTTTGTTTGTGCAAAGGGAGGCGAGGGCTGATTTTTGTCCTTCCTCGGATAATTTGCTTCTCACTTGTTGAAAATCTTTCACACAAAGCACTAAACATTTCGTTTGTTTCTTTCTCTGACCGTTGGAATATCTTACGGGTATCTGTGTTATATAACAAGGGAAACCATGTCCTTTTGTTCGTCTCATTTCAAGTTTCACTCTACCACCTATCTCCTTCTATCCTACATAATGTACGGCAAAGTAACTTGAATTGTGAACAAACTATCTATAGATAATAAATGTTGCAGCTTGCCTTGTAATATTGTATTTCTGGTAAAAAAACGGAGGAGATGTTTATCGGAACGAGAATACAACGGAGGATGATTCAGACAAATTGCATTCAGCACGACCATAACGATGAGCCTAGTTTGATTCAATAGATTAACAGATCTCTTAATTTGGATCTGTCTCGCATTGGGGATGAGGAAAACCGAATAGAGGCATTGCGTTTGCGGATCTCCAAGGGCTTAAAAAAAAATAAACCACCTGCTTGGAAATGTTCCTACCCACGGAATGACCACCTCGTATCGTTTTAATTTGTAACAGGTGTCGATAGTAAACCAGTGGTATTCCAGTGCTTTCCGGTGTTTGAGTCGGTAGCGCTAGAACAATTTCTATTAGGGTTGGTTACTCTAAACCATGTGGTCCGTATTATCAAGATTTTGTAATAAATATCTAACACTTATGTGAACCAGAACCAATGGAAATTCGGGAGAACCGAATGGCGCGGTTAGTAGACAAGAATGTAAACAGCCAACTATACAATACAACAGTTACTCTGCATTAACTGACACATTAAAACGTAGAGGTGTGAGAGCCATTCGAGAAGGTGCTGATAGTTTGCTTGAACCGCCCATCAAAGTGTCCAGGGGAACGCAAGAAAAGGGAATTATTCTAATCTCGTTCAAATGAGCAAGGCCGTAGATAACTGGTGTATGATGTTTTGTAATCTTTTCCCAGGTTTCTTGGTGTTCGATTTCGTTGTGGTGGTCAGCTCCTTTTAGTGTCCCTGGCCAAAAATGAAACAAATGTATAATGTCTAGCATATGAACAGCGTCGACTGTGTATGTCACCGCTGAGGGTCTCAACTCCCAACCCGAACGTGTGCCGTCTGATACCTGACAGGAAAATAAAAAGATACGCACCGCTGATGAGTCGAGACAAGAAAGAAACAGTCAATTAATGCACTTTGTCACCCATCACGAAAAAATTCGATCGCGAATGAGCTGTGCGGAACATGTGAGGACAAAGTGAACTTCCAAGGAGTGAAACCTTAACACAACTCTTACACAGTGCTTGTAAAAATCTAACCTGGATTATAACAACAGTGTTTTATTTATCGATCGTGACCGCAAAATTGTGACAGTACGTAATGAACTGTATTCCAGAAAGGAAAACCAAGAGAATATTTGTATTCAGTCACTTAAAAACTAATACAAACTGGAGTATAAAACTACACTATTACCTTCATCCAATTGCGCACAACGGCATCTTCGTGCCTCGTTTTTTTACTGTCCCATAATTCAGTTAGTTACAAACGTCAGGGTGTATATACGGTGTAGGAATTCACATTGAAACAAAATCTTGTTGATTTGGTTAGGAAGACAGCATTCTAACCATTCCTCGAATCGATTAGTTCAAATTGGCCAGGTTCTGTAGTCCTCGTTTCTTCGCAACTGTCCCAATCTAGAGGAACCATGTCTCAATTTGGCACATTGATCACATTTACTGTGAGTGGAATTTCACAGGTCATTTGAGCCTCGTCAACTAACCATAAAGAGTGATTCGATATGCACATAGTAAAAAAACTGTCACAAAATGTAGATTCAACTGTGAAACAGTGTACTTACTCGATTTCGGATGGTTTACCATAATCAGAGATTTCGCGACTGTAGCTTGTGTTCTGGGCATCTCAGTTCTATCTCCGTCCGGATATTGGAGCGGTCGTAGTTGTTGTTGCAGATGGTCAGCAGGTGAGTAGCGTAGTGTTTGAACACCTGCTCCACCCTGTGTATTGCGAATGCGAAATCGCAAACTGATTGCGGCCGTCTCATAGGCTCCGTCGGTCAGTCGAAGCACACAACTGTCGTACACGTATCGACTAGCGTAGGTTCCCGTATAGACGTAACTAAGTAACCGGGGATAAATGGGACACAATTAATCAGAAGTGACCGAAACACTAAGGCGATCAGATTATCACTTCAACCTGGCATCATTCAGCAGTTTACCTGAGGATGCACACAAGTCGATCAGGCTTCCCTCGTGCTAGTTGATTTCTACGAATTAGAGGGATGTTTTTCTTGTTTTCCAATTCATGTTATTTTTTTTTTATTCGACTTACGTTCACGCATCTGGTTAACTAAACCCGTAGGTTGTGATCAACAAATTACGTTATTCCGAGTGCTGGCCAAATGCGAATTGTTCGTGAGCAATGAAAGGTGAAGCATATCGCGCATCATGTGGTCTAACATTTGCCACTGAACAGGATTATTTCCAGTTGGTATTCTCTATCTAGTGGTTTCCAATCGTCATCACCGTTGAGCGGGGGGGGGGGGGGGNGATAAAAGAAGTATGAGCTTGTTGGTAATTTGCATAATAAAACTCTGATTGTGACTCCGCCGCCGCTGTCCCCGGGTGCTTCATTTATCACGTGTGGATCAGTTTGACGGGCCATCTAGGGCTTCTACTCCGCCTCCAGCACGACGCGCATCAACCCCACACGAATTTAGTATTCATTTTTTCAAGTGTTGATTATATGTTCCTGATAACCGAACAAAATGAATTGATGAAATAGTTCTTTCTCGAAATGAACGTGAACAAAGAACACTGTAAGTGAGCACGATTTAATCCCGGGAATCATTTCGCTGCATCTCAGCTGGTGTTTACTGCAGAAACAAAATAGTTTATATATCACAGGGCATGACAATCCAACATGGTATCAGTTCATTCTTTCGCTTATGTAGTCACCAGGGCAATGCCAGACTGATATAGACCTTCATGGCGATCAATTGATGACTCAAGTGCTCTGTGAGACTAGCTTGATCGCCTGGTTGTCTTTGCAGCGCTCAATCTCACCCTTTCGCGTTCAACCCATACCGGTATGTGTTCGGCCGCTTGGGTACGCATCTGCCCCTCTGTTCTGCCCACCTGGGTAGCTCCGCAGCCACACTGAACTTCATAGATTACATGGAATTTGGCTGATAGAGGGAGTGGTGATTTCATCAAGGGCTTCGGAATCTGGCTTGTTTTGAAGCAAACAACCGGATTTGCAGCAAAACAGGTGGAAGCTACAGTCACCACCAGCTGTTCTCGTATGAGTTGGCCTGCACCATCACCTTTGAAAGGGAGTTGAATGTTGATGTCGTATTTTGGTACCCTCATCTCCGAGGGTTTGGGCTCGGCTTTTTCACTGTGATCTATAAACCATTTGTTTCTGTAGTAAGCACCAGCTGGGATGCAGCGAAATGATTCCGGAATTAAATCTTTCTCGTTTGCAGTGTGTTTTATTCTTTGTTCAAAATGAACCGTGGTTCGGAATGAATAGAGAAGATTGCTCATCGAGCTCAATAATTTCCCATGACTATGCAACCTTGAGCCACTCGATTCATAATTTATGTTTCGATGTGTAGCTGCTATCCTTCTACTTTGATAATAATATCGGGAAACAAGAGAACAGATTTCTCACAGTATTTCCATATTTTGTTTGTCTTTTAGAAAAATAGCTCACTTTGGAAGCTTTTCCAAACGACTGTTTTCTTTTTTCATGATCGCTTACATGTTAGGGCGAACGTTTAATCTCACAGTAATTTTGATACGTTGTTTCATGAAACCAACTTTCCTCGGTTAGTTTTTGTTGCTTTTTACCTAGGTTAATTGTTAGTTACAAAAAATAATGCACGCAAGAGAAAATCATGGTTTAGAAACTTTGCCCACGGGGACCAGAACTCTTGAGGAAAATAATCCGTTCGGAGGACCTTTAGCAACTTCCGGAAACACTTTAGAGCAGGTTGTCCATAGTCTGACGTCAACAGGATTGATTTAAATGTTGCAATATGTAGGGTTCTCTATCTCTCAGGCGCTATACGGATGACTTTCATATGGCCTCGTAAATCAGCCACTGCAATCAAGTAAATTTGAAAATAAGTTTGGATTCATTGTTCCGTAGGACTCAGGGTGTTATAAACTCTGTGTCGAAGACTCGTAAATAGTTATAAAGTAAGTTGGATTATACAAACATCACCTGTGTCTACTTTTGAATATGCTAAAAAGGGGAATTGAATGCAGCTTCCGCATTTAGAATCCTGTGAATCGTGACAGAAAAAAAACAGAAAAGTTCCCTGCACATCGAAATATAAAATGATTCAATTGTCACGGCCAAATTGTGATAAACGGCAGAGGTTGAAAATTTCCTCTCTTCAGTAGGGCAAAATTTGAAGAGGTTTGATCTTTTCAAATCAAATAACTCATCAGTCCGATAAACCTTATCAGGCTGTTGTAACATTGCCCACAAACGCCCAACTGAGCTCTGGGAAATTTGGCTAGATTATCGTTATCCATTGTCTTTTGGAGTCTAGGCACATCAAAGTTTGTGCTGCTATCGTTAAGTGCCTCCGAATATGAGCTCCATGAAGCGGTGAAACACCATATTTTCAACCTTCAACCACAGTCTTCGGATGGTTTCACTCAGCGAAAAGTGCATCAAAAAGTCACATGGGACGGACAGTACACGAGATTCCACAGTTTTGTACCTCTGGTCTAGAAGGACGACTTGGTAAACAGTCTTCCATTTCGACCAAGACATCTGCTCCGATGGCTCATTAGGAACAGAGTTGTCATTTGCACGGAAGACCTTGCAAGAAAAGGTCATCCGAAAACATAGGGATGATAACTGGTCTGAAACAACGGAGTTGGGAAAAAAGACACCACTCATCAAGCTCAGTTTCAAATGGGATCCAGCCACCGATAGTGTCATGAGTCCTGAGTACTGCAATTAAGACAACATTCAGTGCTACCAAACTCGATACCTGGTGGACAATAACAACAATGCAGCTTTCATCATTATTTACCGTATTCCACAAAGCAAATCCAAGTTTGTTTGAACTAAGACGCTAGCAAATAAGTTCATTCACCTGTCAAAGTGAAAAATTGTGTGCACAAAATACACGATTCAGTCACTCAAACTTCACTAACCGTGAGCTGGAAAAAGCATACATGAGCGGAGTGATGATCACAATTATTATTGATAACCGACTAAGAGAACGGTACCTTTTCAATTTCAACTTCAAATGAGTTCAACCAATCACATTCTGCTTAGAACCCCATAAAGTGATTGGTGCTTCAGCCGTCACAGATCATCGATTGGACCGGGTCTATAACAATCTTGTCCAACCGGAACGAACTGATTATTCCAAGCGAGAATGAAAGTTTCAGTGGGGTGGGGTTTGACTGTTCGTTCCCCTCCCCCCCTCGGGATGCCTTAGCCATGACCGTTGGTTGAGTGAACTCTAGACGAAAATGAATGAATCCGGTGCTAATTGACTTCGGCCGACCGGGTAGAGAAGCAAATCACGTCAAAGTGGTTTGATAAATCAGTCTTCATGTTTAGGCATGATTCATTGCATGAGTGGGTTCAGCCTAGGCCCACAATAACCTAGTGAGTAAATTCCATTTAGGCCAATGTTCACTCGAATAACATGTTCATAAAGATGAACGGCCTCACCAAGGTCTTGGTGACCAAGTGGGTGGTATGGTTTCGTGCTGGGTTCGATCTTCAGTTGGGTTGATAGATTCGCACTGCTGATCAAGCCTGACGTGTTTGAAGGACGGCCATGGTTTGACCAATTCCGGTTGTTTGCATCAAGAAAAGCTGTGAGCGATAATTTGAGCATTCACCGGCCTTTATAAAATGATACCTACAGGAAAATATGAATCCTAAATGCTAGTGCATTATTTGTTAAGCTATTTCTACAAAATCATGAACCGACGGAAACTGTTTGAAGATGTAAAGAATACACTGTAAATATGCAGATATTCATCTGTAAATTCTCTGGTTACATGATATACTACCAGCGCAGTTCCACTGTCAGTTGCAGCCATGCTTCGATGAAGCCTATTGCTGATCAAAAATTGCACTTCCTTGAGCGCAGCACGTCACCCACGCCCACTGGTAATCACTCGTTTGCTTGGAAATGCAATTTGGACTGCACAGTTCGACAACAGTGCTATGTTCATTGGATGTACGTATATACTTTGGACTCAGAGTATCTTTTTTCGGCACGGTACACGTTGTCAAATCCACTGTAGCCAGCCTGCGTCGTGTAGAGTCCCTCTGATAAATCTGGGTCCATAGATGGAAAAAAATTCCGCACAAAACTATCATTATTTGTAGAACCAGGGATCAATGTGAGTTGTTTTTATCATCACCTGTCTCACTCTCTATAGACTATCAGGATTGTACAGATGTGGTACAGCTGTAAAAGGATTCGGCGAGGGGGAACTGATACAACACGGATAAGAACCTACTCTTCAGAACTGAGTAACGAAGGGGGAAGCGGTAGTGCACAGGCTGTTGTCATTGGCACTGGAGATAGAATGTGGTCTTCAATCTGGCTAACCCGAGTCAGTTAGCACCGAATTCGTTCATTCGCGTACAGAGCTCACTCGATCAATGGTCAAGGCTAAGGAATCACCGAGGGGATGAGTGGGGGGGGATGAACAGTCAAACCCCACCGAAACTTTCATCCTCACTCAGTAACTGACTCAAGAATTGCTTCTATTTGTTTTTGGAGGAATCAGTCCACTCCACTGCTGTGTGGGATGTTTATAAACTCGGTCAAATCGGTGACCTGTGACTGCTGAAGCACCAATCATCTTGTGGGGTTCTAGGTCGAATGCGATTGATTGAATTCCCGTGAAGTTAACGCCTTCATCTGATGCTGAAAAGTTATAGAGGGAATCTTGCGCATCTTCCGTTTCTCTCTCTCTCTCTCTCTATATATATATATATATCATTTAAGTTACTCCTCCGCCCAATAAATCACATTGCCGTTATTCACTAACGTGCTTGATTGTCACGGTTTGAGAAATACCTCATTGAAAACCCAAGTCCGAATGCGATCCATGCTCTGATCGCACAACGAGGCTTGTTTTATGATTCTTGAATTTATTTTATACTAATGGATGTCAGTTATTAAATATTCAATGAAACCTAACTAACCCCAGATTTATAAACATTCCTTGAGTTTTGACTCCAGTGTAGCTGTACTGAAAGCTGTCAAAATTTGCCCTCTTTTTGGCCAATCCAGTGAAGATTCTGCTGTCCAGGGACGGGGTATGCGCGGGTGTTTGTGTGTATATGGGTATAATTCGTTTCTGTCTTTCCGCCAGATTAAGTCGAGTACATTCACATAGTTCACTTATATGGTTCAACAGTTAGGTGAGTACAGGGAACATTTACCTCTGTTACACACTAAACGAATAGAACCCCTTTGGGCTCTTGTTTTCAAAGATATAATACGTGATGCTTATTGCCAACTTCTCGCAACCAATAAATCTTTTGTTCGTGAACCACACATAGGGACTTAATAAAAAGCTGTCATTTTGCGTTCGTCTCATCGAAAATCTATCCTACACCCAAGTGAACTAGTTCTTAATCAGGGGGTGATATCCGGTTCACATCCAAGCAAACCAGTAACAAAATATCAGTGAGAAAACAAAAAAACACACGCAACGTCACCCACCTCCCATTCATCGTTTATACTTCAAATTGCAACACTATTTACCTCAATGACTCGTGCCAACTTGGAAACCGATCAGTCGAACATCTTTGCCAATACAAAATGTAGTATTCAAAAGTTAAAATGGTGAATAATGATATATTTGTTTTTGCATTTTCTCAAAATGTTTGTCCAATTGCATTTACAAGCCACCATTGCCGGAAAATTGTGATGGACTTGACCCGAATCTGGAGGGTAACCTTTCTCGATCTCTCTCTCTCTCTATCAATACTGAGTATGTGCACAAAT